CCTAAAGTTGAATGGGGAGAATATATATAATTTATTGTGAATAGTTTTAAAAGATATCAATTGCCCCTCTTCTACAATTAAAAAACTCATATCATATCAATTAATATACCTGATAAAGAAGTTCTTGACACGAATTAATTTGATTTTATCACCTATCTTTTATATATTTTCCTTGTGCATCAATTTAAAAAATAATAATAATGACGAAAAGGTAAAAAAATTGACAAAAGAGACTGCCCATTCATTTTGGGGCCTAAGAAATGTTGTATTGAATATTTTTTTAAAGTATTTAAATCCTCTTGAATTTTTAATTTATGGAATGATTATTTCTTCTTCATATGTATAACCGGCCAACACTTTCACTTTGTTTCCTTTAGTCGGCGATCATGCGCAGACACCGCATGATAAACATAAAACATATTTCATCTTTCACCACTTGATTATGCCCTCATTAACGTGTTTTTGCATCTTCAAATGTTTTCTTCACGATAATCCTTAATCATGCCCAAACGAACATGTTTGCAAATTAACCGTCTTATTTGACTCTTTTTCTCTAATTTACTTATAGGTGTTTTTAGTATTTGACTTTTTTTTTTTCTCTAATTTGTTTAAAAGTATTTTTAATTATCTTTTGTACACATATAAAATCTCTTTAAATAATTGTAAAAATATAATTTTTATATGTTGATTTAATATATTTAAAAAATTAATTTTTTAAAATATTTATTTGGAGACTTTAATTTTAAATTTGATTTACAAAACTATTATTTATTTATCAATAAATTTAATTCTTAAAATTTTATCATTTTATTTACAAGAAAACACTTTGCTTGTTTAAGTTGTATTTAACACTTTGCTTGTTTAAGTTGTATTTATGAATCTCTTTTGAACTTTTGTCATTTTGTGGCTTTTTAGTTGATGTGTGATGTTTTGGGGTACTCTTGATCTTGCACTTTATTTACTGCACCTGTTTGAATTTTATTTAACTTAATAAATTTGATTAGGTTTAAAATTATTTTTTTATTTTTTAAAATATTGTTTAATATATTTATTATATTATATTTTTGTTTTAAAAAGGTAAATATAATATATAAAAAGCTTAAGTAAGTAATAATTAATTAAAAATATAATTTATCAACTAATTATAATATTTTTATTTTATTAAAAAATTAGCAAAAATGATATATTCATTGCGCTACTTTCAACAATTATTGATGTAAACCCTTCTACTTTTTAAAAAAATAAATCTCTTCTTTTAATATTTTTAAATTAAATGAAATTAATTTTTATACATTTCAATTGAAATAAATTAGTAAAAATTTAACATAAAATGTAATCATTCATTATTATTCCATCTTTTTCAATCAATACCCATTAAGTTCTTCTAGATTGTCGATAATTTTAAATCTATTTTTGTTACGACATGATATTTTCTTTACGGGTAGCCATATCCTATATGGGATTGGTTAAGTCTTTCTTATTAATCAATTTGATACCAAGAAAAGAAAATTTCATGTCATTAACAAATGGGCCCAAGATTGCGTAATTGACAAGCGTTGGTATTGAGGGGAAAAGTCAGAATGATGATCTATACAAGATTACGTTATCTTTTAAATTTGGATTAATTTAGTTTAATCAAAATAAAAGAAAATTAATTTCATTCGATCTAAAAATATGACAAGAGACTTATTCTTTAAAAAAATATATACAAGTTCATTTCAATAATAACTGAAAATACAAAAATAAATATATATTTTAGAAAAAATTTAAATCAACTAAAGTTGAAGGGAAAAAATAACTCATTTTTTATTCCTCAAAAAAGGTATTTAATCACATATTATGAGCAGTTATATGTCATAGTATCATAAAATTCATAACTTATTTTAATTGTTATTTTTGAGTCACTCCTTTCAAATTATAGATCAAACAAAATCTTAATTGTGATGTGAATGTCAATTAATGCATTAATTTCATCATGCTTCATAGTTCAAGTTCAGTCTATAGTGCTAGAGTACCCTAATATTCTTCTCAGATTAAAAGCACCCATGATAAAACGTCATATTATCTTACCTCTTGTTTGATTTGAGGAAAATGTAAGGGAGAGAAGGGGAGACAATATCTTTCATTCCTCTCTCATTTCGTTGGAATATATCAAAATTATAAAAGAAATTAAAGAGACTCTTTCCCTACCCTCTATTTCTCTCTAACTTGGACAATTATTGGTATACATTTCATTCAACACATTGTACAATGTACTCATTAAAACTTATTATTTCTATTATAAAATTAAAGGTGGACACACTTAAAAATACTATCATATATACATAATATAAGAATCAACTAAATCTATTGTATTTATATTATATTTTTAATAACTGAATTGAGATGAGTGTCGAAAAGCGCGTTGAATCAAGTGTATATCAATTATTTTCCAACATGTTATTATTGGTTTTGTTGCACAATCCATGCATCATCATAAAAAATAAAAACAAATTTAAGTTAGTCATAGATAATATATATGACTAAGTGTTTTACATGCCAAATTGTAAATTAAAAGTGTAGTTTAAGTTAAGAATTTACTAAAATACTTGTAATAAAATTATTTTTCATATTATTTCATTAAACTTGTTTTAGTAATTTTATAGGTCCAATTGCACTTTTAATGTGTAATCCAACATGTAAAATATAAATCATATATATATATATATATATGAAAGTTCTGTTTTATTATTTAAAATGTATCGAATTATAAAATAGGAACCATTAGATGGGGAGGGCTCCAATGTCAAGGGGTTCCAACCCTTATCTAATGATTAATATAGTGAGTTTAGGGAGTTTAGTATAGTTTAAACTGCACTACACATTTTTATGCGTATGTGTGTATATATATAGGAGAGATCCACTCACACATAAATATTACATACACATTTATACAAAATCTTGATTATTTATTTTTTTTATTTTCAATGGTTAAAATTTATCATGACTTTTTAGCTAAAAAAAATAATTATTTTTAATAAATGTGAATAAATTTCAATTATTAAAAAAAAATAAATTATAAAAATTTTGTATAAATGTAATATATATGTAAAATTTATTTATAAATGAAACCTTACTCATGTATAAAATATATATATATATATAAATGTTAAAAATTCTTTAGACAGGATTATTATCACATTATTTTTATACAATACTATATAAGAAAGACATAACCTCGTCCTTATGCCCTTACA